AAAATAGAAAAGGCAAAAATCCCAATAAGCAAAAAGAAAAAGAAAAGCTATTCTGAGGCTTTCCCTTTAAAAAAAAAGTAAGTTTAAAAATTAAAAATAAAGTAAAACAAAAGAAAAAGAAAATAGATATACAAATATTACAAAATACTGTGGGGTTGAGGAGGAGGGATGAAACAGCTAAATAAAGATAAGAAAGAAAGCACACTGCATCTTATTTAGTTATCCAAGGCTCTTATTATGGCTTCTCCACAAATTCCAAAGCCAAACTTCAAGTACTCAATAATAGAAGTTCCAAAGAACACCTGTTAAAACATTCTCCAGTGTTCTTCCCTCTATCTAATCAAGTTCCAGTGTCCTTGAGAAAGGATTCCTTCACAGCTCTTTCAACTTTCAATAAAGTATCTTCAAGCCTCTAGTTGGCAGTGTTACAAGGTTTCTTTAATCCACTCCCCCTTCTTTCCCAAAAAAGCCTAGTAAAAAGAGGGAAATATACATGTATATATATATATTTAAAAAAAAAAAAAGATTACTAAAGGGAGCCTCTATTCTAAAAAAAAACTATTAACAGTCAAAAGGGGGGAAAAAGAAAGAAAAATTAGATGAATATAAAAGGAAAAACCAGTCTAGTTACAGTTACTAGATCACAATGGAAGTTCAATGAAAGCAAAAGTAAAAGTAAAAAGCCAAGCCTCAATTTGACATTCTCTCTAAGAAATCGCCGCTAAATCAGTTCCATCAGTTTTTGTCCAAAGTCTTACAGGATTCTTCTCATTTTAGAGTGTCCTTGAGTCCCCGAGGAAAAAAAAAAAAATTCTCACCAGCCGATCCACGTTCTCTTTCAGCCTCTTCCTTTCGGAGCTGTCACAGCTTCAGCAGCCAAGGGGGCTGCCTCTCTGCCGATGGTAAAAGGGCTTCTTCTGGATCAGCCAGGGACTTTGCGATGTCCCTGGGATCAGCAGAATGTGCCCCTCACTATCACTGTCTCTACGGGACGGTTTAGGTCCATTAGGACCGACCAGGGGCGAAGATATCAGCTGCAATCTCAGAGCCCCAAGATTGCAGCTGTATCGCAGCAACGTGGCTCCGCCTTCAGGAGTGTTTTTTTTTTTTTAAAGAAAGTTTTTTCTTGGTCGAACTGGGACCTTAAGGACATATTTAACACCTGGGAAAGTAATGACTTGGAAGCTATAATGTTCCTGATTGACGTTTTCAGCTGCGAAGAAAAGTGACGAAAAGGGGAAGTTACTCTCCCTCCCTTATGGAATTAACAAATGGACAAGGGAAACCAGCCTTTTGATAGAAGGTAAAACCTAAACTCCTTTGTTATAAGTGGGAAGGGAGAGGCTTGGGAAAACAAATCTTTACTCTAAGATTTTGCTGGAGGAGATGCCTTGAAGATAAAGAGAATAGAAATTAATTCTAAGAAAGATTTAAAGCACAGATTGGACGTTTCTGCTTTCCCTAATTTGACTACACTCCTAGAAGAGAAACTGTAAAAAGAAGAAGCTTCTACTCTGCCTGGACTGTTTGATGACTGTGGGATTTTGGGACTTTTGGGAACTGTTTTAAGTTTGGAAATAATTGATTGGCTTAATAAGAAGAAGAGGATACAGAAAGAGAAGAAGAAACAATTCAAAATGGCTCTATCTCTTGATGAATTAAAAAAACAATATTTAAAAATAAAGAAAGAAGGCAAAGATGTTATGGGAGAAGCCCTTTGTTTTCTAGATATGGTGCTTGTCATGTGTCAGCAAATTAAACAACAGCTGGAAGAAGCCGAGGAAGAAGAAGCCATTTTAATGAACTAAACGGTGTGACTAAGAAAGAAAGGAGAAAGAGAGGAGCGAAAAGAAAGGACTTAAGAAATAAAAAAAATGTTTATGAAAGAGAAAAAGAAGATGCAAAAACAACAGAATGCTAGAAAGCAAAAGGAAAGAGGAATGCAACAGAAAGGGGAAATCAAGAAGGCAGAGGTTTGGAGAGGAGGGGGTAAAAAGTTTAGGCAGGCTAAGAAGGAAAGGGAAAAGGGGAAAAAAGTTACAAAGGTATAAGACAAGATGGAGAAAAGGAAATTTTTTTTAGGGATAATGGGTAATATATGGGATTTTTTTTAAAAAAAAAGGGGGATTCTGCAAAGTACACATGAGTATTGTAATAGTGGTATTTGTATTATAAGTAGATAATCAGAACTTTTTAAGATCTAATAAAAGACTAAAATATCAAGGTATAACTTTAAAAGGTTTAATAATGAATGATAATAAGTTTTAATAAAATTCTAAAGGAAATGTTTAAAATATTAGTTTGAATATAGAGTTTAATGGATTAATGTGTTGATTGTTATGGATTTATTATTGTAGTATTGGTTTCTGAAATAGTAGAATGTACTAAGCAGAATCTGATTGGGATTTAGGTGTTATTTTAAATTTTAACTTAGGGGAATGATAGAAAGGCATCATACTCCGATTAGTGATTCCAGGGGAAACTATTCTTTCTTAAATTGGAAATGAGACAGATGTAAATGGAGAAATGGACAAAAGATATAAAAATATTTTTCTTTAAAGCAAGATTAAATATATAAAACAGAATTAAGAGGAGGCAAAAGTGGAGAGGAGTTATATAATAGATATAGAATGGTAAATAAGATGGGTAATGGTATATAAGAAGAGCATGAATTCAATTGAAGTCCATACAAAAAGTGGTAATCTGGGGCCAAGTTACTTTCTAGAAGAAAGTTTTATGTTTTTATGTCTATGTCTTATGTGTGTATGTTTAATTAAGAATTAAATAATAAAACCTCGGAGGAAGACTAGATGAGAATAATTATAAACAAGCCAGAGGAAAATATAAAGTTGATGATTGGATAGCAGATAAATCAGAAAGGAAATATGACTGAATAATGATTAAAGAGTAACAATGTGGAATTTGGTAAAGGGAATTTACGTGTTTATATGGAAATGGGATAAATTATAAGTATGTGATATAAAGCAATATGCTACCTGCCTTGTAAGGATCTACAATGGAAAGAGGTTTTATGTTTTTAATGTTTAATGATGTTTTGTTTTGTTTGTTTGTTTGTAAAATCAATAAAACTTGTTTTTTTAAAAAAAGTTAGCAAACATTTTGGTTATTTGAACATAAGGTTATATATTCAGCATTTGAGTTATCTAAGGAAGTTTTAGTTACTTTTTATTTTAAATAAAATTTTAAGTATATTGGAATACTTAAAGTATAGCTAACACTCTTCTCCTCTCAACAACACAATTAATAAACAGCATAATAAAATCTGTGGCACTGGCCCAGACAGACCCAGAATACCACCTAAGGGTTTTATATGCTTAGAGCCTTCTGGAAGAACAGATGGCATCTGTTGCACATTTTCAGTAATGTACCATTTGTGCTCATTCCTGGACTGAGAAACTCTGCTCACTGTCACTCATGCCCCAATCAACCTACATCTGAACTACTGCAGTATGTTCTACAAGGACCTGCCATTGGAGATTATCTGGAAGTTTCAGCTTGTGTACAATGCAGTGCTATGTGTAGCTATGCATGCCCCTAGAATGGCACTGATTACACCTCTGCTCTGTCACCTGTGTTGGTTGCCCACTTGCTTCTTGGCCTTACTCAAGGTGCTGATTTTGACCTTTAAAGATCTTCATGACATGGGCCTGAGTTATTTAAGGGACTTCCTCCATCCATTCATATGTGTTAGTTCCATCATCTCTGCAATAACAGATATGCTACCAGTTCCATCTGTGAGGGAGCTATATTTGGCAGATGGGCCTTTTGTGTCATGATACCACCTATGGAACATCCCCCCACCAAAGTGAGGCTGGCTTTATCCTTGTTGATTTTCCAGAAGTCCCTTAAAACCAGATCTTTTGTCATCAGGTCTGGGGGACCACTGATGGGATTCAAAAAAAATTACTACTGGTTCTGTGGGCATTGCTTGGTGGGTGTGGCGTGGCTTGGTGGGCATGACAGGGGAAGGATATTGTAAAATCCCCATTCCCTCTCCACCCCACTAACCTGATTTCCAGCTCCATTCTCCTGTTCAGGGCAACAAAAGAAGACCCAGGCAACCAGCTGGGACTCAGGAGGCAAAGAATAGATGGGGCGAGGCCAGTCAAAAGAGAAACTAAAGGTTTATTGATTTTAATCAAATTTATATGCTACTTTCTCTTCAAATTATGTATGTAAATAAATTTTATCAAAATCATTTTTCCTGAAAACAGAAGAATGGACTATCTTGCACATTAAGAAACATACTTAACTGTATAATCTTCAAAGTTTGATTAAATGAAAATAATTCTTTATGGATTACTTGGATACTCATATTCTTCATTTAAATAAAACAATATTATTGGTAAATGATATTTACATGATTTGATTTCTTTTTATTAATTAATTGTTCTCTGTTGTTCAGTTCTGGCCTCAGCAAAATGATGAAACATTTTGGGAAGAAGATACATCCCAATAAGGCAGCACTGGAGGACAAGATGGAGAAGATCTCTACAGCTACCATGGCTTTCCCTCTAGTGCTCTGGTAGGTTGCCACAAATGACACCCACACACTGCAAAAAGCCAACATACTGAAAGTAATAAATTTGGCTTCATTAAAGCTGTCAGGTAAATTACGGGTAAGGAATGCCACAACAAAGCTGGCAGTAGCCAAGAAGCCCAGGTAGCCCAGGACACAATAAAACATGACAATGAAACCTTCATTGCATTGCAAAATCATGGTTTCCATAAGGGAATGGATGTCTAACTCAGGGAATGGAGGAAACTTTGCCAACCATGCAATACAGATGTTGGCTTGGAAAAGAGAGCAGGAAAGGACAATAAAAAGGGCCAATCTTTTTCCTGCCCATTTCCTCATCTTGGAGTCTGGCTTGGTGGCCATGAAAGCCATAACCACAGTGAGCGTTTTGGCCAAAATACAAGAAACAGCCACTGAAAAGACAATGACAAAAGTTGGTTGCCGAAGAAAACAGGTGACTTTCACTGGTTGACCAAGAAATAACAAGGAAGAAAGAAAGCAAAGCAGAAGTGCCATGAGCAGAATGTAGGTGAGGTCCCGATTGTTGGCTTTAACTATTGGTGTATCTTTGTATTTCATAAAAGTTCCGAGAATCAAGGCTGTTATCACAGAAAAAGCAACAGCAGCTGATGCCAAAGAAATCCCTAAAGTTTCTTCAAAGGAAAGGAAACCCATTGTTTTGTTCAGGCATCTGTCTTGCTCCTTGCTTGGATACTGATTTTCAGGACATTTGAAACAATCTTCCATCTCTAGAGTAAAAGTAAAACAAGAAAAGTCAGATTTCTTTATTATTATTAAGTTCTGGAAATATAGAGAAAGCTGTCTCATAACTGGGTGGTTGCTTTGGTAAGATCACACTTGGAATATTGCATCCAGTTTTGGTTGTCACAATATAAAAAAGATGTTATGATTCTAAAACACTGCAGAGAAAAACAACAAAGATGGTTATGG